ATTTGTCAAAAAGGTATTTTTGATGTTAAATATTAATAAAAATAAAAATGTATATTTTTTGGTATTTTTATCCTAAATATCCTAATAAATATGTATATATTTATATTATATGTTAAATATATTAAATATGTACAAAAATAAAATATTTAATATTTATAAAAAAAAAGTATATTTTTTTTATAAAATGTTTTCAAAAGATAAAATAAAATAAAATTAGAAAATAAGTGTATTTTGTATTGTTTTTAGTATTTTAAATAAAAAGTATTATGTATTTATTTTCATATTAAACCAAATGAAACAAAATAAATATCAAATAAAATGCAAAAAATGTGAGAAAAATATTTTTAATATTTTTTATGCTTTGACAAAAATAAATAAGTCAGAAACAAAAATCAAAAGTAAAAAATAATAAAAATAAAGCACAATGGGCCAAGGGGGTGCATGTGAAATACAGTGGTGCAAAAAGGAAAAATATCTCAGGCCCAGCCCATAAAGGTTGTCTTCAACCTCCAGACAGTTCAAACAACCAAAAACGCGCGTTTTGACTTGTCCCTGCTATCTCCTGATTCCTTGATTTTCAGCACAAACTCACAACATGAAAAATGTCAAGCATCAAACCACGAATCCATACATACCAAGAACTTGATCTAACTCTCAGAAATGAGAGAGAATTTCTTCTCCCCCAATTCCTGACCTAGTTATTTTCTAATATTCAGGTCTTAAATTCTCTCAGTATATGCAATATAAATGGAAAGTGAGGATATGGGTGGCTTCAGGGACATGAGTATGACACTTTTCATTCATAAACCTAGACCTAACTCTTCCTAGATTGAGAGATAGAAGTCCATGAACTTACCTGTTCAGCTTGGATCGTGTATGACAATGGAGGCACTTTCAATGCAAGGTGAGGACTGGTACAACTTGCTTGAAGTCCAGGGATGTTGTTCCAATGCTTGGTGTGCTTTGAATCTTGCTATATCAAGCTACAGAAGTTCACCTGCAAAGTTGAAAACTGAAAATGGCAAATGATGTTAGGGATGTTACAGGTCATGTCCAATGCTTGGGATAGCTTTAGGGGGTTATAGGGAATGTGTTTGCAAAGGTTTCAGCCAAAATGCACGAGTGGATTGAGTTATGGACCTCAAACTGCAGGGATGCCCTATTTTTGTGCAGTACAATGGTGTTTTGAGGTTTAGGGAGGTATGGAAGGTAGTTAGCTCGTGCCTTAGCTCAGGTTTGATGTATGGAATGTGTTCAACAAGTTTGTCTAGGCTTGTGGTTGCAGCAATGTGTGTTTGATATCAATATGCTAAGTTTCTTCTAATGTAAGTCAAAAATGCCAAGTTGGTTTCTAGGCTTATGCAGGCCCCCTAAACATGCTGCCTCAATCCCTCTTGATCAGTGTGTTATGTCCATGAATCCTGTGTCCAAAGATATGGCCTTGTACTTCTTGATTTGCAAACATGACATAAAGCCATACTTTACAAAAATGGATAAAGTGCTTTTTCTAATTAAGGCTTAATTCTTCATACAATGACCAAATGCATAAAATAATGCCTTGGCACAATGGATTGGCATTTAATTATTGAGTAAGAAAAGGATTAGAGGCCTTTAACTAGCTTGCTCATGCTGATTTGAAAAATTGCAAAGTGTATGAACATGAAGATGGCTTATGAACAAAGTGACTTTTGCCTATATTGCCAAATTCGATTCTCCCTAACCACAAGGTTGTTTGATGAGTTCTTGGTCATTTTGGAAAGCTTGGAATGTGTAATACAATCCATCTTTGTAATGCAAATTGAAATTCCAAGTGGAAGCATGTGAAAAGTGGCCATGAAGTTAGGCAAAAATCCTGTCTAGAATAGGTCAAAATTTTTCTAAGTTAAAAATGTTTTGCACCCTTGTTCCAAAAATTGTAACTTGAGCTACAAGCTTCATTTGAGGAAACTTTGTGAATCAAAGTTGTAGATTTTGCAATGGACTATAACTTTCATGTTTTGAGTTTTGTTTGAATCCAAATGTATCTTGGTGAAAAAATGGGACAAAGTTAGGAAAAAATTAGGGATTTTCATAACTTAGAAAAATTCCAAGTTATGAAAATTCTTCATTTCAAACCCTAATTTGTGATTTTTGATTTCTTGATGAACAAGTTTCATAATTTGACATGTTTTGATGAAAAATGAATCTTGACACTTGATTTTGACCAAAAAGTCAAAGTTTGACTTTTCAGTATACAGTCAAATTTGGCTCACTTGACTGGAAAATTCATCTGTCAATCTTGTGGATGCAATGCATGATATGTGGATGCATGCTTTCAAGGATCTCTTGGGGTAAACACAAGAGAATGTTAGAGGTTGAACTTCGATCTTTGATTGGAGATCTTTGCCCCGGTGGATGTCTTTCCACGAGAATCAAGCTCACCATGTCAAGTGGGTCATAGCCCCTGATTCAAGTTGTTGCACTTGATCTTTGATTGGAGAACCTTGCATCGGCGGATGTTTTTTTCCACGAGAATCAAGCTCACCATGTCAAGTGGGTCATAGCCCCGGATTCAAGTTGTTGCACTTGATCTTTGATGGCATTTGTTAGAGGAGAAACCTCTTGCCCTTTGGTAGACGTCTGGTTCAACGTAACCCTGCATCAAAAGAACCCTCAAGATCCTTGAAATGGTTATCGAAAATGCCATGGTATGATGTTATGATGTTATGTACATGTATGCAAAAGAAAATGAGTGTATATACAGGAAATTATATTCACACAGAGCAAACAAGTCCTTAGGTTTAGGCTTGCATGGGGTCTGTAGGTAAGTACCCTCTTTCAGTTTTGTATGTTAAGACCTGTCCTATCAAAAGTAACCGGGTTTTAGAGGATCTCAATATCACTGACTACCCTCAATCGGTCATAACTCCAGCATCGCTATCTTTTCTTGCGGCCGGAACCATCGCGAGAGTTTAGCCTCAATGAGTGTAGCATACTGCTACTGTTCTATGGCAAAGTTGGGTCAATTTAGGGTTCTAAGGTCAGTTGGTGCTTAATGACTCCTTAGAAGACCCATATTCTCCTCGTTTCAACACAAGGGATATCGGTACAGACCAAGGTGCCACACCAACGTAGCCACTGCTTCACCCATGTCGGTATATGCCGGACAGGTCCCTCACAGCTTATGCTACCTAAAAGGGTATTCCCCAGATCCGGGATAGGATCTATGAAACTCCGATGCAAAGCCCACAAATATAAAAGCAAACAAAGCAAGCAATTGAAAACAAAGAAACGGAGAGGAGGAAAAGAGAGAG